ATGGTCAATTACTAATTAGATAATGATGTGTAGGTCGACATGATCTGTATGTGTACTGTTGAGGAGACATATACTAGAATGAAACGATCGTCCAGAACTTGCGGGATGTTCAATGATGAGCTGCTAACAAACACTCAGTCAATAAAACTGTAAGAGCAGTCATTATGTACTGTTACTGTTGGGCAATAGACAAATAAAGCGACTGTTAAGACAGTGATGAGTGGATAGATAGATAGATAGATACATAAATAGATAGGTCAGTAGAGATTTACCTAGCACTTTTCATGCAACTAAGTTGTTTTAAACTGAAACCCTTTTTTGATTAACTTATACAAACTTGAACTGACATGTAAATATATGAATATATATAAACTTACCATCACTAATAGATACAATATATTGTAAGGATATTTTCGTGTTAATACTGGGACGAATACCCATATTAATAGAAGAACTATGTATATAATGCTGTAAACAACAATAAACAATATGAATAACTGCAATAATTTTTATCAGAATTAGAAAAATTTCTCATTCATTGCATGCAAATTATGTTTTGATTTAATAAAGAAAATGTTCAATTCCCAATGGTGATTTTCATGTTGTAGAAACTTCTTCTAATGGCTGGTGATCTGACTCCGATTTAGACGAATGACTGAATATGTTATAACATACAATCTACTTTTCAATTTTTGTTGATTGTACTTAGGTGAACTTGGTTTGTGTGATGGTGGTAATAAGAAGCTAAATATGGATACAGTTGGATGAGTTTATTTCATGCAGACCGACATGAGTATACAAAGTGTAAAAGCAAAGCAGAGCAAAACGGAGCAAAGAGGAAAAGTCGAATGAGCTAACTCAATGAGATGAAGGCATGACTGAATATTTGTGGTCAGACAAAAATAATTTAGACATGTGACAAGTGAATTAAGTAAAGGACACCTTTAATCAAGGAAAAGCAAAACGTTTGAGCAGTATGTCGGGCAGAAAAACTTAATTAGATTACTGAAAAGCTTGGACAGGCCATGTGGGCTTAACATTTAAGATGAAGAACAAGTACCAACAGACTGGTTAAAAGCACACCTCATCAAATTAATGACAAAGAAAGGCAATCACAGTAAGTGTGAGGCATCAGCCATCTCTTAATACCAGGAAAAGTCTTCATAACAGTGTGTTGTTTAATTGAATGGATAATTCAGTAGACACTAAAGTTCGAAATGAGCAGGCTGGATTCCGCAAGCATCAGTTGTATACCGACCTAAACTAAACAATGCGGATCATTTTGGCACGATCAACTGAATGGAATTCACCACAAAACATCTACTTCATTGACTACGAGGAATCATTTTATGGTATGAAAGGAATTACACTATGGAGGCTCCTTTGATACTACAGTGTGTTTGAAGTGAATGTCAACAACCTACAGAATTCTTGTGATTGACTAAATCGCAAAATCGTGCATCGAAGACAAATCACAGACTCCTTTCAAGTGAAGACTGGTGTCAGATAAGATTGCTTAATTTTATCCTTTCTTTTTCTCATAGTGGTCGACTGAATTATAGAGAAGTCAACATTTGAGGGCGAAGCCAGGATACAGTGCAAAGATGAGATGCAGATTGACAATCTAGACATCGCAAATGATCCCGTGTGCAATAACAAATGTAGGAGAAGGTGACCCGTCCAATAGCAGTCTATGCAGCAGTCTCAACATTTCTCAACATGTACAAGTAAAAAATCAAGATGCTCTCATACAACACAAACACGCAACAACCAAATCACACTTGACGGTGAAGACTTCGAAGATGTGAAAATCTCTGCTTAACTGAGCAACACGACCGATAAAAAAGGTGGATCTAATGCATATGTGAGGGCGCGAATTGGTAAAATGAAGGCGGCAGTTCGACAATTGAAGACATTTGCAATTCAACACAACAGTCGGTCAACCAACGTTGAAGTCACAATTTTCAATACAAACGTCAAGACAGCTCTCCTGTCGTATTGAGTGGAAACTTGAATAACTGCAACAGCCATCATCCACAACATTCAGGTGTTTATTACCATATCATGTGGATCCATTGACCAGACATCATCAGTAACACCCTGTTGTGACAGAGAACAAACCAACTTCCTCCGACTGAGGAAGAAATTCGGAAAAAGTAGTTGAAGTGTATGGGACTCACATTGTGGAAATACACCCAACTAAGTAATGAGACTAACTTAGAACCCTCAGAGATAAAGGAGAAGAGGTAGACTAAAGGACACACTTCGCCAAGAATTAAAGACATACATTGAAAAAATGAATAGCAATTGGGAATAGCCGAAATGGAAAGTGAAGGCAGAGTAGGCTGGGAAATGCTAGTTGGCATCCTATGTTCCATTGAGGGTAACAGGAGTAAGTGATTTGGTAAGTAAGTAATATTGAAACAGTCATAATCTAAAAATAATTTTAATAATAATGATTTTATTCAATATTATATGCTCAGTACAATGTTGAAATTTCCGCTCGCGATATTTCAACAAGTTTCAGTTTACAAAACCATTAGAGATTAACAGTTGGAAGTAAGCAGTTCAAGAATTGACATCTTATTAACAAATTACTAGCCACTGTGATGTCTCGAATTGTACTGTATTTTTGTGCTTTATGAAACCGATAACACATGAACATTTTATGGGCGCGCCTGAACAAATTATGTGATTCATAGATATAAGTGACATGTTAAAACAGACAGAAACAAGTAACCTGTTGAAATATATTTGATTTCAACAAGACAGATAGCCCAAATATACAAGGCGGTCACTGTCTGTTTGGTTTGAATTTTGAGTAAATTGTTTTAAGCGAGCAAGATTTCAGTTCAAAAAATACATGTTCTTGATTATTTTATCGAATTTTTTATACTATCAGTATAGAAATTAGTAGTAGATAAATAAATGTGAATAAATATAACGGAGAAGGATAGTGAGTAGTACTGATAAGTAGTGTTAGATCCAGTTTTGAAGACTTTCTTTGTGAAAATCCCTCCATGTATACATTTGTAATTTGTCCTTAATGATTCCTTCAGTTGCACATTTTTTTTAGTCTGTTCGATTCCATTTTGAGATGATGATATCGGTATTTTATTGAAGTTTCTATTACTTTTGCCTTCACTTAGTTTCTCTCTTTCTTTCTGAAGTGCATCTGTGTTGTTTTAGTTGATACTTAATCTTGGCGGCAACCTTATTGTCTTGTTGCTGTATTGATTGTGTTGCGTGCATTGACTGGAATTGTGTATCTAAATTGTGAATTGAAGCCTCCTTACAGAATAATAAGCACTCTGTGTTATAAAGCAACCAAATATTATTTTTCGAACGAATCCTATCTATCCAGGTGGGATAGAATAACATTTATTTGTTTCTGTTGTGGATTTGATTAACTGAACAATTGTTGGTGGAATAACTGAGTGGTAATATTTGTTCAAGTAATAATATACATTTGTATTTATGATGAATATTAGAACCGTCATTTACGCAAATCACTTGTTTCAGTTTTACACTGGGCAATATCGCGTACCTAAACCAACTGGACAGTTGTTCTTCCGTCCAAACATCAGTTTGGATCCTACAAGTAGTATAGACTGAACATTCGTTTCATTTAGAAAAGTATCTGTTATTATCATTAATAACAATATTTTTACTAATAAGAAAGTAAATAGTCATCATTTACCTGGAAAACCAAAGAATCATTTTGTTTGCTTGAACCCATTCACTAATCCAATGGCTAAAAATAAATTTAACTTAAATTAACTTCAACAAACAAATAACACATACATTAGAATAAATAAATTTGTCCCGCCAAAAGTAATTGTAAACTGTAGAATTGCAATTCCAAATACCTTTCAATGAATAAACATATAAATAAAAAGTTGAACACATAAATGAAGATAAAATAAAATTAGGATTATATCGTCTCAAAATATAAACACTTCTATTATGCATTCAATTAAGTGTATCATTTTGTTATGTTCGTCACTTGGTCCGTTTGAAGCTATTACGAGTTCACCAGTGTCCAGGTAGGCTACTTTGAATCCAAAACTGCAAAACAGAAGACTTGTTAAGCGTAGAAAGTATATTCCTACAAACACCCAGCAATCATAGTACAATCAAGCATACGATTCTCGTTTATTTATACATCATAGAAACATCCTTGTGACAGTTACGAAAATAGTACACTAAAATACACACCAGCCAATCACAGCCATGGATTTTCGTGGTGGGAAATGAAATCTCAAGGTAAACTGATCAGCCCATACTGGCAAACGTGAAATCCAAAATAAGGCATTTATCAAACGTTTTCTGGGGATCTAACATCCTCAACACATTTGTGAAGTTATGGAGATTGTTACTTATTACTGAGATCGTGAATCAATCATGGTTTGAGCACCATTGGAAATGTGAAAGCACTGGACGGACGTTTCAGCCTGGTACAGGACTCATCAGGAGTGAGAATGCAAGACTCCTGCTACTAGCAAGATTCGAACAGAGGAACTTCCAGCGTTGAACGCGAACACCTGCCGATCGGGATCGAGCCCAAGATCTTCGGTCATTTCAATGAGCACTGCTTCACACTCGACAGGATTCAACTCCCCAACTTAAAACTTCTCACTAGAACTCACAGAAATCCCCCTCCAAGGAGCTAGTCACCAATGAACACACAATGAAATATAAAAATCAGAGCAATGATAAACAGCCGTTTCACTATTTATGAATTAAGATGATTAAAATGATTTATGCTTCTTACATTCAATGTAAAAATATTTTTATCACTTGAATATTGATTTTGATCAATGGATACTTCTTGTTGTTGTAACCAATTCAGATCATACTTTCTTACTTGTGTGCAAATGTTGACTGGTTTTCTCATTTCACAATTCTGTCTTATTCGTTCTATTTTGGAATAAGGATGACATGCAATGATTGAATTAATTTTGAGCATAAATCACACATAAAAACGAAAATAAATGTGACTTTTCAAATAGTACAACCATGTAGCTCATTGGCAAACTATTCAACTACACGAATAAATGATAAGAACGTGAATTTCCAGCGGAATATTCAATTGTCTTTAAGTTACATATACACCTTATTGTTGAGTGACCAAACAAATGTACCATCTAATTTCAAGGTTCAATTTACCGAACAATAATTTTTACAAATCTATTTATCGATTTTTCTCGCCAAATCCATAATATCTTCGATGTCTAACTTTCATGACTTACACTGAATACTTACTAACTCCTATACTTTATGTTTCTCATAATGGTCAACTGGATTATGAATACGTTAACATCTCGCGGGAAAGACAAAATACAGTGCATAGCTCAGATAGAGCTGAACAGTCTGGACTGAACAAATGTTCTAGACCTTATATCTCACACACAATAACATTTACAGGAGAAGAAGGCCAGTATAGCAGCAGCAGGCCTCAACATGCACAAGTGTAGAAGCAAGATCCTCTCATACAACACAACATGCAACAACCGAATCACACTTGACCGAGAATACTTGAAATATGTGGAAATCTCTACATATCTAGGCAGTATGGCTGATAAACAAGGTGGATTCGATGCAAATGTGAAGGCACAGATTGGCAAAGCGAGGGAAGCATTTCTAAAATTGAGGAACATTCACAACTCAATACAAATGTCAGTCAGCCAATACTGAATTCAAAATTTTCAATACGAACGTTAAGACAATTGTTTTGTTGTGTGTGCCAAAACATTGGAGGACTGCGACAGCCATTATACACAAGATGAAGGTGTTTAATAACAGTTACTTACTTTACTTACTTACGCCTGTTACCCCCAATGGAGCATAGGCCGCCCACCAGTTTTCTCCAACCAACTCTGTCCTGGGCTTCCCTCTCCTGTTCTGTCCAATGTTTGTTCATTCCTCTCATATCTTTCTCTATTTCTCGGCGTAGTGTGTTCCTTGGCCTTCCTCTTTTCCTTATGCCTTGAGGGTTCCATGTGAGGGCTTGTCTCGTGACGCAGTTGGGTGCTTTTCGTAGTGTATGTCCTATCCAGTTCCACCGCTTCTTCCTGATTTCCTCCTCCACTGGAATCTGACTTGTTCTCTCCAACAGTTCGTTGTTGCTGATGGTGTCTGGCCAACGAATCCGAAGTATTTTACGTAGACAGCTGTTAATAAACACTTGTATCTTCTGAATGATGGCTTTCGTAGTTCTCCATGTTTCCGCTGCATACAGTAGAACTGTCTTGACATTTGTATTGATAATGGTGATTTTGGTTTTGTTTGAAAGTTGTTTGGAGTTCCAGATATTTTTCAATTGTAGAAATGCAGCCCTTGCTTTGCCAATCCGTGCCCTCACATCTGCGTCCGATCCACCTTTCTCGTCGATGATGCTGCCAAGATATGTGAAGGTGTTAACGTCCTCCAAGGTATCTCCATCAAGCGTGATTCGGTTGGTGCATGTTGTGTTGCATAGGAGAATTTTGGTTTTTCCTTTATGTATGTTGAGACCTACTGCTGCAGAGGCTGCTGCTACACTGGTCGTCTTCTCTTGCATTTGTTGTTGAGTGTGCGATAGAAGAGCCAAGTCATCTGCGAAGTCCAGATCATCCAGCTGCGTCCTAACTGTCCAGTTGATACCGTGCTTCCCTCCAGATGTTGACGTCTTCATAATCCAGTCGATGACCAGGAGAAAGAGAAAGGGTGAGAGTAAGCAACCTTGCCTGACACCGGTCTTCACCTCAAAAGAGTCGGTTAGCTGTCTTCCGTGCACGATTTTGCAGTTGAATCCATCATAAGAGTTCCGTATGATGTTAACTATTTTCTCAGGCACCCCGTATTGTCGAAGAAGGCTCCACAGTGTTTTCCTATCCACGCTATCGAATGCTATCTCGTAGTCGGAGAAGTTGATGTATAGTGGTGAGTTCCATTCAATTGATTGTTCCACAATGATTCGCAATGTAGCGATTTGGTCAGTACACGATCGATCCTTACGAAATCCGGCCTGTTGATCTCGAAGTTGGGAGTCTGCAAAGTCCTTCATTCTGTTTAACAATACTCTGTTGAAGACTTTGCCTGGTATTGAAAGAAGAGTGATGCCTCTGTAGTTCTCACGCTTGCTGAGATCTCCTTTCTTTGGTATTTTGATCAGGTATCCTTCTTTCCAATCTGATGGTACTTGTTCCTCATCCCAAATCTTCTTGAAGAGGATGTGAAATATTTTCGCAGTTGCTTCTACATCTGCTTTCATTGCCTCTGCTGGAATGTTGTCTGGTCCTGCTGCTTTGCCGTTCTTGATTTTTCTGATGGCCATACTGATCTCCTCAATCGTAGGTGCGCCAATATTAATTGGGAGGTCCGTGGATGCTGCTTCGATGTTGGGTGGGTTCAGTGGAGCTGGTCGATTCAATAGTTCCTTAAAGTGCTCGACCCACCTATTTCGCTGTTGTTCAGTGTTGCTGATTACTTTGCCTTCCTTGCTTTTCACTGGTCGTTCTGGTTTACGATAGTTCCCGGCCAGCTTCTTTGTAGTTTCGTACAATTGTCTCATGTTTCCTTCTCTTGCAGCCTTTCCCGCCGTCATTGCTAGATAATCCACATATTTTCGTTTGTCAGCTCTGATGCTCTTCTTCACTTCCCTGTTTGCTTCTGTATACTCAGCTTGCGCCTTAACTTTCTCTGCTCTTGTTCGGCTGACATTGATAGCTGCCTTCTTGTTCCTCCTTTCTTCAACTTTTGCAAGAGTACCAACAGAGATCCATTCCTTGTGATGGTGCTTCTTGCGACCAAGGACCTCCTGACATGTTGAAGTGATTGCCTCCCTAATCCCTTTCCAATTGTTCTCCAATGTTGCTTTCTCTCCATTGAGTAGATCCTGAAAGGCCTGGAACCTATTATTGAGGGCTATCTTGAATTCGTTGAGTTTTACGGTATCCCGAAGAAAGGCTGTGTTAAACTTCTGTGATGTTGTCTGCCCCGTTGTCCAGTGCTTCTTTAGCTTCAATCTCATTTTGGCGATCAGCAAGTGGTGATCTGAAGCTATATCAGCTCCTCTCTTGGTTGTCACATCCTCCATGGTCCTTCTGAACTTGTTGTTGATACAGATATGATCAATTTGGTTTTGAGTAGTGTGGTCCGGTGAAATCCATGTGGCTTTGTGAATGCGTTTGTGCGGGAATATTGTGCCACCGATGACCAGTTTGTTGAAGGCATATAGGTTTGCAAATCTCTCACCGTTTTCGTTCCTTTCTCCCAGTCTATGTCGTCCCATGATGTCTTCATATCCAGTGTTGTCCATTCCAACCTTGGCATTCAGGTCTCCCATAAGAATCGTCAAATCCTTTGGTGAACATTTATCGACGATTGACTGCAGCCTTTCGTAGAATTGATCTTTAACGTCGTCATTGTAGTCATTGGTAGGTGCATAACATTGGATGACGTTCATTGTAATGTCCTCTTTCTTTGTTTTGAAGGATGCTTTAATGATCCTCGGCCCATGAGATTCCCATCCTAATAACCGTTGCCTGCGCAATATACTGCGGATTGGTTGACTAAAAACCATCAACAGAAACCTACTGATGCAGAGAACAAACCATCTTACCTAAAGTAAGGAAGAAATTAAGAATAAGCAGTGGAGGAGGAAAGGACATATTTTGAGGGAACATCAACTGGATAGAACTGAAAAGCAGAGCGAAAGACAGAATAGGTCAGCTAATGCTGGTAGGTGACACATGCTCCATTAAGAGTTATTAGGTGTAAGAGAGAGAAAAGCAGTTCAACATTCGATAGTTGATAGCATTAAAACAAATGCACAGAGAATACTTTTCCAAGACCCAATTTCATGTACTCTACAACAATCATTCAACATGATTCAAGTCTATGGCAGATTATTGATGTCTTCTATTTTAACGTATAAATAATCGAAGGTAAGCGCATTTCATAATGATAACTTTGAAGTTAATGCAAAATTAAATAATTTGTAGTTAAATAGACAAATAAGTAACACAGTTATCAATGAGTCTTCTAGTGATGATATCAACTTGTGATGCGAACTATCATGAAATACAGTAAAGAATTCCACACGCCACTTGAATATTCCTTGCGATATAGTTAATGTTAATAGCCTGTCACTGACAGACTTCGGTTACATTACCGTTGAAAACAATTGTTCTGTCACTTTATACGTGACAATATCATTTCAAACTGTGATGTTGGAGAAAATCTGTATCTCAAGTAGATGACTATAGTGGAGTTTCATTCTCTGAACTGGATCTATTTTAGTTAGGTTGTTGACAGAACATACTGACAATGATATTCATGAAGAAAGTCAAGTTATTCTACAATGAAAGCTTGCCATTCGGGTGAAATTCTTCCATTTTCCAACAACCAGCACCATGTCACATTCATATGATTTTGAGATAATGGAGAAAACCAACCAACCAACCAACCAACTAACTAAAACATCCAATTCCGAGAATTAAACTCCCCTACTAATTCAAATTATTTTCAATGCAGACAAAAAGTGTTGAAATTCATTCTCCACAATTAAATTATTGATCACAAACTTTTATCAACAATCAACTAGATTTGTTATATTCAACAACAACAACAAAATATATACATCTACACAAATATCTTGGAATCATATTCTACAAACCTCTGTCCATGTATATAAGTACACTTCAATGTTGTTATAACATCATCCCAATTTAATTGATTATTCTTTTATGGTGAAATCCAACTTTTGTCAACAACACATATGTATGTATCTACTATTCACAAAGTTTTCTGCATTATAATATGTTCATTATGATATTTTCAGAAAATAATCAAAAGACCAGTGTGTTCATTCAATATAAAGGGATTCTCATACATTGTGTGTGTATAAATTTACTTGTATCATACAGTTTGGACTTTGTTTAAATGATAATACCAATAATCTTTGCAAACACCTTGAGCCAAATCATAAATATAAAGTTGCATAAATCAATTTAGACTTTGACTGATGTTGATGATTTGATAATCGAAATTACACATCAATAATTCTTTCATTTATATGTGTTACTTACTAATTTAAGAAGTTCACAGGATTTTCCATCATGAATCCAAATAATAATAATAATAATATTTTGTGCATGGAGAACGGTTGACAGATTCACAGTGTCAGACCCTTTCTCTTTCTCCTAGTGGTCGATTGACCAATGAAGTCTTCAATATCTTAGTGGAAGCACGGTATACAGTGGACAGCTTAGATGAAGCTAAACGATATGGATTTCACGTCTGATCAAGGCTTTCTGTCACTCACATAAACAACAAATGCAAGAGAAGACAAACAGTGCAGTGTGATCTGGTTGTGTGCGGGTGTGTGTATTTAAAGGAATGTGTGAAATATGATGACAAAGGGAAATCTTCAACTGGAAGTTTTTGGATTTTGTTCTTCAACTTCAATTGAAGTAAGTCAGTATTGTAGGATTGTATGAATACAGAGCAGTCATGTTGTACATCGTTGCTACATATTGATTAAAAAACAAATAATTTCTGTGGATGGAACATTCGTAAATAAAAAGGCGGCATCGAAGGAGCCTAGAATGCTATGTTTGCAGATACGGTTTCTGACCGATTGTACAATTTTCACCAGCCATTTGGTAATTCTGTCCATTATCAGACGATGAGGGAGATCTTTCTTATGTAGTTTTGGGAGCCCATACAATTACGTGGTAGAAGAATCTGGTGAATTTAAATGTTTGGAATAGGTCGTTATCAATGATTAAACCATTTTTCATCTTTTTAAGTATTGTAGTCAACTTTAGTCCGATTTATTCAGTAGCATCCTTTTTCTAGTTAGTTTGTTTAAAGAACTAGCCACCATCACAGAGTATTGAGGATAATTTGTCAATATAGTCTTTTCAGTCAATACCAGCACCTTTGTCTGTATGAAGTCATAATAAACATTTATTCCTTATTTGATGACTTCACGTCAACCGATAGAGCAGACGACATCTGAGTAAACAACAGGCGGCAAGGAAGGCAGACTTGACTGCTCTATGCTCGAACAATCACCCAATAATAAAAACTTACACCAACTGAAGATTAAGAACTATAACCAATGACCACCAGTTCTAAATATTTCGTTTTTATATTTCAGATATTCCTTTTTAAATAAAAACACAATCAAAACAGAGATTTGTTGAATAAGATTCTGAAATCCTATTCTGGTTTGGAGTTCAGCGATTCCTGTAGTAGTATCGCACAATTTCTAACCAAGCAACAGTGATCTCATGTGTAGCAAGGATACATGTGTAAGATGTGTAAGATCGAGGTTAGCAGAACAAGCTACAGGTCAAATGTGGAGAAATTCGAATACTTCACTTCTATTTATCGAACGTTTGTGCTGATGATGTTGTTCAGAAGAAGAACAACGAAACTGAAACATCCAGCTCAGAGAACCAAACACCACTACGATACATGTGTAAATTCACAGATTCTGATTACTATTCTATTCCATACTTGGAACCTGTTAATAATCTTGACCATGTTGCGCAACACCACTTCATTTTTATTTTCTTCCACATGAATAACTCTGACTAGCGTTGATAAATTTATAACTCTTCAATTTACTTGTCGACTACTAAGTTAAATAGTTTACCTTGTTGGGGTCCTCAAGACGAAAGTCACCAATGGTTAGAGACCTTGAACAACATGGCTCAGAATCATTTGCAATGGCACAGGTGCATCCACTGTTTGCGTTTTCTCAAACTCTAACCTTCTGAATTCCTAATAATCTCTATCTTTCTCCTTCCAAATTTATCTCACTCAATTATAGCTTCTCGAATCATATCTTCGCTCCCTAATCTTCTCCATTACTGCTAATACTTTTATTATTGCTATTACTCTTAGGATTTGAACTGACAGCTGCGTCTCTGTGCTGACGTGGTATGGCAACCTGAACTGATGTACTTACGTACGAAGCTCTGGTTTGTATCTGTCTGTCTGTCTATCACGTTAAAGATTAACTACAAATACTACTGAACAGTTCCAGAAAATGATATCATCGAAAAGAAAGTTTTAATCGGTCACATTTTCTTTCTTGTTATTGAGCTGCCGATAGTCATAAAATAATCTAGACATGTTAATTTCTAAATGTCCTACCATTAAAAACTAATTGTAGCTGAAATCCCTTAGCCTAGACTAAAATCTCTTCATATGACAAACAAATCGATACAATCACTTCTGATTCCCTGTTCTCGATAAAAATTATGCCAGTTAAACCCTTTAATGCCAAAAGTGAACTTAAAGGTACTTATTATTCACGAAGAAATGTATGAGAATCGTATGATTCCAAGATATCAATACTTATTCATCACATGTCCATTACTGCAGGCTAAAAATTATAGAACACAAAAGACTATCAACTTTCAGTCAAATTATGATTCACTGATTCTACTAAGACTGATTATCTTTACTCCGTCCAAAATTCTACCGTAGTAAAAATAGGAAGTTTAATAATACTGAGTAATTGTCAATAAATTACCTTTCTCCTTCAGCATAAACTATTATCCACTAACTAATTGCGCTTTCGATATCAAAAACAATTCGAAAAATAATAAACTTTTATATTGAGAAAGGAATATTATGCATCAAAAATCAGTACAAAATACATACAAATTATCGATTCGTCAACAAAAATAAAAACACGTAGCAAAACATTAGTCTTTTGTTGTTCTCTTTGATGATAGACAGACAGACAGACAGACAGATACAACGCAGAACTTCGTACGTAAGTCCATCAGTTCAAGTTGATGATGCTCATCATCGTACGGTTGATTGTTTTTACTTTTGAATAAAAATGATTAAACTGTAGGTAAACGTGGATTTACAATTTGTGCACACACTATCAATAAACATACAAGCATTGTAGTCCATATAGGTAACACAGCATATATCATACGACTTTTAACAACAGTTGAATTACTGCTTTGATTGTTATCTGATGCTTGATCTAATCGAGAAAAAGTGTCTAACAATGTCTGTAAGTAGCCTTCCAATGACAGACAAAGAATAATTTGTGCAATAAATTTCCATAAGATAAAACTTAACAACAACGTTTGACTAAATCTACTATTAAGATTATATTGTCCAAGTATATGAGTAAATCTGAAAATGAAAATTAGTTAGATGTAATAACAACTAATCAGTTGAATTGTGCAAACATACTTTTGTGACATGTATAGGATAGTGGTAGTAAATAGAATTAGATCCAACAACCATATTGGTATGAATATAATAAACCAATTCCAAGAAATAATTTCATCAAGTTTTAATACCAACAATAATAGGAATGTAGAGCAAGTTGTCCAAATAAATATAGCTTTATTTATAAGCATGAATACCTAAAAATCATTTCATTTGAATATTCAGTTGAATATATCAACAGGATATTTTCTGTAATAAGATAAGAGAAAAAAATTAAATTGAAATATCCCATCTTTAGAGAAACTGAAATAACAAACTTATCAGAAGACTAAATTGAATATTAACGAATTCTTCATTTTAATAGAAGTAATTAAGACAATTTGGAATCTGAAAACCTGTTTAAAAATTTCGATATTAGGATGAACGATGAGTAATTTTTCCAACAAATCCTTCTCATATCATATAATTATACAACCAAACTAAAGATCCCAAAGAATGGCTAAATTTAATGCAAATACATCCTCTAAAAAAGTATCACATATGAAGTTCAGGATTATTTGTAAAAGGAACTAATTATCTTGAGCATAACTTTTAGGGAAATAGAAAAATGCAAACCATGAATCAGGTATCGCTGTTCATGTGTTTACAATTTAGTGGTAATTTGATCAAAGAAATACCAATCCGGCGATTACATGGGTCATTTGCGAGAACATTCAATGAAAAACACTACAACCAGTAGTTTCCATTTATTTCAAAGTGACACTGGGAATAAGAAACAAACTTTCCAGATTATTAATATTTCGGATTTATCGATTCAACTATTCCTGAGCAACATGTTAAATTAGTTGATGTTTTAAAGGCTTATTATTTTGTGTCTGTAAACATCTGGTATTGCTAAGGAAAGGTGTAGTCGAGACTGGTAACAGTTCTATCATAGACATTCTAGTACATACGTGTTGCAAGGCAATTGTGAAACAATTGTTTATGGTAATCAATACTGTTAGTAATTATCTATCAAAAACTGTTTGACTCCGAGTCCTGCGAACGGCACAAACTAGAGCAATTTTGACTAAACCTAGAGCTTTGAATTAGAAATGTATAGTCATTTCTATTACTTTAGTCAAAATTCGACTCAATAAATCAAATCTTTAAACTACAGTATGAAGGACCTTCTCCCGCTCCCTTTTATGATTTAAATTCATCTTATTTAGACATTACTATCTACTTATTTTTATATCATAACTAATAATTTAAACTCATGGTGAATCTATCCAAAACCTACCCCACTCCACTAGTTCCTAATTATTTCGCATAATTTTATGATGTGTCATTCAACAAACGCATGATCTAACATGTAATTTCTTTATTATTTCTCCCATATTGTTAACCGTATTTATGGACTGATAATCTTACGATTTCACATAACGTATAAACTTATACAAGCTAACACCGAACACTCAATCTTGTTTCACAAACAATCCTGCATAGACATGTTATGACATTTTATAAAATGAGTTTTCCCCAAGCCAGATTATTCTTTTGAGTCATCAGTCATGACGTATACCTGTATAATAAATTTCCATGATTTATCTATTTACTATGAAGAAGTGAGTCGCATTAAGTGACAGAACGCCATAAATACAGACTCATGCTCATCGAAGTATCACCAAGTCATTTCACTACTATAAGCTCCTATGTGAAAAAAGAAAAAATCACTAATATGCATCCTAAAATAAACCTACAACTTAATCTGACAACACAAGGTACTCGAAGCCACAAATTGTTTTGCCACCAAGGTCGTCGAAAGGTAGGAAATACGACCTTGATGGCTTCTCAGTGTACAATACAGCTCATTTTCTAATCAATGAGACTGAAAGAGCAAAACCTCTATCGATCCAATTAATTTCTTTTCACCATAGTTATTTAAGCTTATATTGGAAAGTATATTTTCAAAAAAACGATAGTTTAGGTTGAGACCGAAAGTCTAATTTTCAAACAATGTTCAGATGGTTGTGAAAAAAGGAGAAGAGGCTTCCACATAACGAGCCGCCGTATCTAGTGGAAGTGGATGACAGGCCCTCTAAGCGAATGCAATAATATGAGTCAGCAGAAATATCGGCAAGGTAGTAAGAGAGTTATTTCCCTAGCCGAGTTAAATTTAAGGTTTTACTCGTTAAAACGCATCTTAACTACTGTTTTATATTCCATCGGATAATTTTCGGCACATTACCACAAAGGGTGTCGTTTTCATGAAATGCAAATTCTCATTTCAACTATCATCAGGTACATTTCGTTCTTTTTCCGTTTTCGGAACATTTAACGGTTCTTGTCTTAGTTATCAGTTTTTTCTCCATATATTTTGTATCTAAGCCATTCAGAAACCATTTAAATACTGTTAAACTGTGATAAAGGAGTTACTTACTAATTCCACGTAGTATATGTACTATGAAAGGTGGTATACAGGACGTTGAGTGGAAGGATAGTTCTACGTTGTAAGTAGAGAAAGTGTATTCCGACAAGGTGTATATAAAAAAGAGCGTGCAGTAAATAACATAGTCTAAAACCTACCATTCAACTTAAGAGAGCCTTACATCACAAAATGACGGAGGGTAGTGTATCTGAACAGCATTCATGAAGGTGGGGCGATACCCTGAATCTACTCATGTCTGTGGGGCAGAACATTTTGTTTGCATACGGCTCATTACGATACAGCGGGATGTAAGAAATCAGTGATATTGTTGTTGCTTTTCCTTGTTAACCTCGTCTACGACTCATATTCGTAACCGTGCACTGCTTTTAACTACCTACCAAGAAATCCTATTAAAAGCAGATCTGGACAATTATACTTAAAAAGAGCTCACTCATGAGTTCTTGGGCTAAAGAGTTAAAAAGAAACAGAATAAATATAATACCACAAAAGCATCAGACCACAGTACCTCATTATTGTATTCTGAAAATCAATATTATTGCTAAAAGTTTGGTTCTTCAGAATTTCATCTATTAACTTGATTAATTTTCCATTAGTTATCTTACTACTGAATTGTCTTCATTCACCTACATAAGTGCAGGTGTATATTTAGTGTTTTAAATAAAAACGTATCTGCTGAGCGATTGTTCGGCTTTAAACAAGAATATTTTCCGTTTGCTCCTCACACTTCCTCTTTATTTCTCTTTTTCAACACCCTGTTCCAATTCCTATATATTAGTCTGCATATTTGCCGAAGACTTGGTCACTCTACTTAGTAGCCTGTAAATTTATTAGCTGACGAATATCCACCAGATCTTAGCAAATTTACCACGTCAATTCTTGTTATATGCAGACCTGGCTCTAACTTGCACTGTTTCGCAGTCACTAGCAGTTCGTCGTAACACAACCATTGTAACTGTTTCAACTGAATCCGTAGCGTTTGTGAGTCTCCTGATGCAGGACTTAAGATCTACATCCGTCATAGCAGATCAAAGGTTCACCAAACCCCCTAGAGGTTGGAGTTAGTTTGGCCAGAGCGAATCAAACTCAGCTTATACTGCAATTTAAATTCTGATTAACATAAGTGGATGAGCGTCAATCACCTGCGACACGTTAGATGCTAAAAGTGAGGTTTTCAGTTGTCGGTGGAATCATTCTACTAAACTGTTGGCTCGTCAGTAGTAGTAGGCGGTGATTCTGAATCGTGTTATTGCTAGAAGTGTAATAAAACAGAGAACAATTGTAGATATGGGCTGACGTCCACGGTCTCTAAGAATGATGAAAATGGTTCGAAGGTTGCTACCAATTTTTGACGCAGGTACGGCCTATTGTTTCATCAATACTAACAATACTGACAATCGCGTGAAACGATCAAAAATATTAATTCAGATGCATCTACGGCGATACTCGTGTGTGTGTGATGATGCTGAGATGAGCCACTGTAATCAATTTTGTGATATTATTTTCCACTGAAAAATGCTTTCTTTGTAGTGTGGTTTAAGTTAACAACTTTTGCATTTGCACGTATATGGTCCATTAGAGATCACATGAAGTTCAAGCATTTCAGTACGGATAGTCAATCCAAGCTTCATGTTCAACATTCTTCAACAGAAAATTTTATCTTTGACTGTGTGGTTGAAACCCCATTTCTGTTTCAGTTCCGTTTTGTAAAGAAAAGGAAGCCAGATGCTCTACGTTTTCCATAACAGCGATGGTCTGTCAGTTAATCCAGTACGTTTTTGACTATGTCAGTAGATTCGATCATGACTGTGGCGAATTTCCGTTCTCACCGTTCGATGCTCTTGTTTAGAAGCTTCCATTAACATTCTGGACAACACGATTAGCACAAACATCCATCAAATACCTGAGTTACAAATTTTGTCAACCAACAGTCAAACTAACCAGTGCTATTCGCTGATAATTTTACAATAAAGTGGTTAGTCAGTTGACATGTAAATTCATCTGAACTTGTGAACAATTTTAGTATTCTTATGAGTTTTCTTTTTGGAAGACAAGAAAAACAAGTGTATATCAGGTGCGACTGATCAGTAATACTGAGGTTGCTCATATACACTTGACACTTTTGAGACTCATGTTTCTTAGAAATATGCTGAAGTCGCCATTCTGGCGAAAAAACCTGTGAAATGCTTATACAGGCAATTACAGCATGACTTAGAGGTTGGTTTTTGATTTAAAAATGCTAGATAGCAATGTTTTTTACAAGCTTTACTCTTCTTACTGAACTTTCAATATACAGACATCCAGCTTCTTATACCAACTCCGCCAGTAGAACCTTAGGGGCTACTGCCGGTCCCAAGCCCGGCTAAAGGAGGAGGGTTGGACATGAGGTCAAAAACTAACTTGCCAAAAAAACGCTAACCAGAAAAAATAATTCAAACAATTTTAACTCTGCCCTGGGAGTTGGAGGAAGAATTATGACGTCGCGTGATGAAAGCGGAGTTCCCTTGGAAGTCACTGGGCTGATGCCTCTTCTGACAGCAAGAGCAACCATCTTTTTAGGTACATGGAACGTTCGTACATTGTGGGAGACTGGAAGACTATTTGAAGTTGCGGCAGAAATGAAAAGATACAACCTCGTTGGACGCAGGCAGGACAACTGAGACTAGCTTAAGGAGAACTGCTGTTATACTCTGGTCATGAAGAGGAAAATGCTTCACATACACAAGGAGTTGCACTGATGCTGTCCAAACATGCACAAAAGGCACTGATAGGATGGGAATCTCATGGACCAAGGATCATTAAAGCATCCTTCAAAACAAACAAAGCGGACATTACAATGAACGTCATCCAATGTTATGCACCTACCAATGACTACAATTACGACGTTAAAGATCAATTCTACGAAAGCCTGCAGTCAGTTACTTAGACAAGCAATTATCCCACCCAATTTTCCATTATGACAAATAACTCGAGTAAAAGAGAAATGTCTCCAACTTTTAAACCACCCAAAAGATCAAAATCTGCGAACCCTATGTCAGATGAATCTTCACTGAGTATTCCAATAGTAAAACTCGTAGATATAAGAGATATTATACCCAAATATAGCGAAACTTCTACACAGAAAAAACTTCACCATAATCTTGTAAAGCCTAAATCAGGAAATTCACAAACCAAGGAGTTGAATACTCCATCCGAAACCGTAATAGTAGTAATAACCATGGCAGCGAGATACGACAGTTTGAAAACTCACTTGCCCAAATTAAAGATAAGCTTAACCTGTTAGCACCCCTCATTCACTTATGGGCCCCGAATAATGATAGGAACCTAGAAGAATTAGCCAAAGCGGAATATATCCTAGGCTTTGTAGCTGAGGAAGTTACGAAAAGAATAATGTCTTCCTGCAGTGCGATAGCTTATAACCTCCCCGACCACACATCCTTGAATTCGCTAAAGGAAACCTGTCTAAAAGCGTGTGACATGAAAAACGTCAGCTGTCACGTCACTCGCCTCAGAAAAAAATCGGACAAATCAACTTGCCCTCTCCTTTTCAAATTCGGCTGCTGCAACGACGCCAAACAATTTATCCGTTTGAGCAAAAATATTAGCTCATCAACCTTATACAAAGAAGTAAAGGTTACCCCGGATCTAACGCCTTGTCAACGTCGTGTAAAAACAAGAGAGGCGACTAGATCACATAACGGTGAGACAGCAGACAATCTACAGAAAATAACCCTCAGTGTCATGAAAGTAAATAAACAAATAAACCACAATGTAGATCTTAATAAGCCTGTGGACTGTAAACCTTCTAACAAAGTACGGATGCCCTCTGTCACCAAGAAATCGAACGACCCTTGCAGTTCTAATCCCAGCTGTTCAAACGTTAACTTGACTGAAAATGTCCCAAAAAACAACACAGTTCCAGCTAAAACTAATAAAATTAAGAATCCATCCCTAAAATATATTGCACGAGAGAATACGATAGAAACTGACGTGTTTTTCAAAAACACGTCCAGGGGACTAAAACATTCTCCATCTTTAACTAAGAAGAAAGAACTGATTAAATCTTGGGTCTCAAGTAAAAAAATAGGTAGGATTCAAATCCGATCGCCACCGACTTTTCCAACAACGATGAACAGGTTCACTCCTTTAATGTCATGTGATGTGCCCCTAGCCTCTCCAAATTGTAAGTGAAAGTGGAAATGGAAGATTTTTCACCCCTCACCCTATCCTAAAGACCCGGGCTTTTATTCGCAAAAACGCTGAGAATGAAAACTCTATGCATCCTGCTCTATCAAGCCAGCTGGTAAACATGACCCCCAAATTTAGAAAAGGCCATAGCAACTGGCACTCGTATATGGCTAACCCTCCCCTAGTT